TGGATTTCAAACCAACACTGATTAAGAGAGACAAAGAAGGACACTACATCCTTATAAAGGGAACAATCCAACAGGAAGAGATGACAATCATAAATATATATGCACCAAACACTAGTGCACCCAAGTATATAAAACAAATACTAATGGACATGAAAAATCATATAAGCACTAATACAATAGTAGTGGGGGACCTCAATATGCTACTGTCACAAAAAGATAGATCAACTAGACAAAAAATTTAAAAACCTAGAACTTAATCTAACTCTTTTTTTAATCAAAATCCTGAACAAATGAATTAACAGATGTATATAGAATGTTTTACCCCACAAAATCAGAGTATACTTTCTTTTCAGCTCCACACAGATCATTCTGTAAAATACACCACATTATTTTTCACAGAACATATTTAAGTAAGTGCAAAGAAATTGAAGTTATCCTCTGTATATTATCAGACCGTAGTGTGATGAAATTGGAGATCAATAACAAAAGAAACTGCAAGAATTACATAAACACACGGAAGCTGAACAACACATTTCTGATTAACCAATGGCTCAATGAGGAAATTAAAGAAGAAATCAGACAGTTCCTACAATTAAATGACAATGCCAATAAAACATATTGGAATCTGTGGGACACAATGAAATCAGTCTCATGAGGGAAATTCTTAGCATTGAGTACTCCTATTAGGAAAACAGAGTGAGCTCAATTACACAACCTGATGCTGAACCTCAAGCTTCTAGAAAAGGAAGAGCAGGACAAACCCAAAGCCCATAGAAGGGAGGAAATTATAAAGATAAGGGCAGAAATCAATGTAGTGGAGACTAAGAGAACAATACAAAAAATCGATGAAGCCAAGAGTTGGTTCTTTGAAAGAATAAACAATATTGACAAACCCTTAGCCAACCTTATCAAAAAAGGGAAAGAAAAGGCCCAAATCCATGCAATTAGGAATGAAAAGGATGAAATTACAGTGGACCCAGCAGAAATCCAGAGGATCATCAATATCTACTTCCAGAACCTATCCGCCAATAAGATGGAAATTACAGAAGAAATGAACAGATTCCTAGGTATGTGTGAATTATGAAAGTTCAACAAAGATGACCTAAAAATTCTAAATGATGCAGTACTAATCATTGAAATTGAAAACATAATTAAAACCTTACCAACTACAAAAAGCCTGGGTCCTGATGACTTCACTGATGAATTCTACAAGACATTTAGAGAGGAACTACAGCCACTATTCTTTAAACTCTTCAATGAAATTGAAAGGGAAACAATACTCCCAAATCTGTTCCTGGAAGCAAACATCACCTTGATCCCCAAAGCAGAGAAAGACCCAACCCCAAAAGAGAACTATAGGCCAATCTCACTAATGAACATAGATGCAAAAAATCCTTAATGAGATACTGGCAAATAGAATGTAGAAGATCATCAAGAAGATCATGCACCCTGACCAGGTGGGATTCATCCCAGGGATGCTGGATGGTTCCACATATGCACATCAATCAATGTAATACGCTCTATCAATAGAGCCAAGGACAAAAACCATATGGTCAGCTCAATAGATGCAGAAAAAGCATTTGACAAAATCAATATCGCTTTATGATAAAAGCCCTACAAAAAATTGGAATAGACAGTCTGTACCTCAATCTGATAAAAGCCATCTATGAAAAACCAACAGCCAATATCACACTAAATGGTCAAAAACTGAAATCCATCACAGTAAAATCAGGAACAAGACAAGGATGTCTACTATCACCACTCCTGTTCAATATAGTTCTGGAAACATTAGCCACAGCAACTAGACAAGAGAAAGAAATAAAAGGAATAAAGATAGAAAATGAAGAAGTCAAATTTTCATTGTTTGCAGATGACATGATA